TACGTCTATTTATGCCCCGGACTCTACCTATCTTAGATATTGGTGCCACTTTGGAATCGTATCTGTCCATACCAGCTGTCGAAGAGTCTTCCTGGTTGTTTTCTTCGTTACTAGCTATCCTGCACCCCGAAGGGCTCGCTTGCCTCCCAAAAAAGCTACTGCGCGTCCTGCAAGTCGCCAACCCACCTCATGACCTAGCCGCCCATCGAAGTGAATTCTGTCTCGTTGAAAACCCCCCCCACCTATGCACCTCTCTGTTTATTTCCACCACCTCAAAGCCTTTCTCTCGACTCATCCGCCATATCTCTTGGTTTGCGTTGACCACCGCTCTTTGCAGGTTGCTATCACGCACCGGTACCTCCGGTATCGTGCATATAACTACCTGTACCTTAGGAGAAGTGGCGCGCATGTCATCGACGCCTTTCGCCAGTGTGGCTGCTAGGCCTTCTGCATCTTCATTGAGGACATCGTTTAAACCGCCTGAAATTATCACGAGGTTTCGTCTATCAGCTGTCGTTTTGAGCTTTGCGCTCGCTTGCCTCATGACTGCTTCCAGCTTGCGTCCTGGGAACGCCCCTACCGCAACCCTCTTGTCACCTCTTACCCTCTCTTTGATGGCTTCTGTGCATCGATTTAAATTCGAGTCCCCGGCTATTATCACATGCTGTGACTTTTCAGCTGGAGCGTTCTGCACCTGGGGGCTACTTGCACCTGTGACGCCGGCTGCTTTGTTCCCTTCCTGCCCCACCACTACCTCGCTGAAGCTGGGCCTTGCGACAGTTGAACCGGCTAAACCTGTTTTTTCCATGCTTGCTTGCTTTTTCATCTCCACCGTTCTCGTTGCCGGTTCCTTACTGTTCTCTCGGTAGGTCGCTTCTTTGTTCAGCTTCGCTAGCGCTTCCTCGGCGGACTTCAGTCTTTCTCCCATTGCCCTCGTTTTTTCTTGCTCTGTCGCCACCGCAGTCTCGAGCTCGGCGATTCTCCTCAGCAGTTCACTCTGGGCAACCATCATTTTCTCCATTTTTTCCTCGGCCTCACATTGCCTACACTTCGCGCCGGCCTCTTCTCCATCCGCTTCTACGCTTGGGTCCACTTTCAAACCCACTCCACATCCTGAACACTTTACGGTCTTTTTAACCATACCTTTCTGCCGCCAATTGTCCCTATACTCAATAATTACTAAACTCGAGCTCTGCACTTCGAAGAAAAAAAAAAGGAAAGTCTAAGCTCTACTACAAAAATTTGCGTGTTCAATGTACGCGCACCTCCCCCACGGGGTGGCAAAAAAAAACAATAAAATTTCAAACACACACACCCGCACTAAATAATAAATACCTGGTGTCTGGCCCCCGAAAAAGCCGTACCATAAAATAAGTACTACGAAGATTTCAACCGCTGCCTTATAATTATAAAGACAAGCTCAAAACATGCAAAAACACTTATCTGCGCAGTCGATCCGGAGCGCTCAAAAAACACGTCCATCCACCTTGACAGCCTGAACTGATAGAGGCAAAATGTTTTTGCGCGCCGCATTCGGGGAGACAGAGAACCTTCAAATTCAGCGCTTTTCTTATTGCTGTTTAGGTGGCGCTAGGGGACAATTTTCGTTGTAGTGATAGGAATAATGTAGATTTCTCAATATTCCTGCAGTTCTTGTGTGCGATTCGTGTGCATAAGTATACCAGGAGACCTTAACTGTTATATTTTAGGCTATGCATGCTTAGATTTCAGCGCTATTTCAAGATAACAACGATTTTGTTGATGTTTACGGCATGATAAATTAAGACAATTTGCGAGCTTTGTTTCGCATTTCTGCTTGCTTTATTGAAAAACGCTACGTTGAGGAAATAGATCAGGGGTTCTAGTTTATCCACGTGCAAATTCAGCTAACAACTTCAGTAGTTCTCCGCAAAAATGGGCCACGGTAGGTCTATCTAATGAGAATATTGCCCAATTTAGATCAATATAATTAAAAAGTGAGTGGGCGTACATAAATTAAATTGAGCACTCAAACGGCAAATGCCATCCTCTATATACAGCCAGAAAATGAATTTTCTCTAGCGAATAGGTGCCGGATAGTCCGCATCGACATTTACTAAAGTTGGCTCTTTTCAAAAGCTAATCAGCAATACAGTAAAAGTGCTTGAATAATTTGCTACGTTGAGGAAATAGATAAATATGTCCTAAATGTTCTGCGCAAAGAACAGTGCTGTAACTGCAGCAGATTTTTCAGAAAATGGTCACTGCTGACACACAGCCAGACCAAACCATGTAACCAGTGCTTATTCTTGGCTTTCCATACCCAAATGCTAAAAGCTTACTTATTTTTAATAGATATCTTTAAAATGTACAAAAAGTAAGCGTTTCAATGACTCATAAACCAACTATATAGGACAAGAAGAACAGCCGCCACGTCCGTTGGAAAAGTGACAAAAACGATGTGTTCGTGCCACCGGAGTGAGACCGCCGCCTTAAGGTCTCCTAATTTCCTAAAGTTTATGCCGCAGTAAAATTTAAAAAGAAATGGTGTCATTTGAATCTCATAGCCCTTTATTGCAACCTCTGCTCAACTTTCTTCGTTTTCTTTTGACCGGCGCGGCAGCTGTCTTGTGGTTACAGTGTCCGGCTGTTGAACCGCAGGTCACGGATTCAATCTTGGCCGTGGCGGCTGAATTTCCGATGGAGGCGAAAATCTTTAAGGCAGGTGGGCTAAGAAGATTTAGGTACACTTTAAAGAGCTGCAGTTGGTTCAAATTTCCACAGCCCACCACTACGGCATCTCTTATAATATTATGGTGGTTTCGGGGCGCTAAACGCTGACAAATATTAGTATTATTGTCTTTCTTATTTCTATATTTTATTGAGTTATCATTACACCTTGTGGCGCGTTCAGTGACACAAGACACCAAAATGAAACTGATATTGATCGCGCCTAATATTTTTTATTGTGAGCTTAGCGCACCAACATTGCAGCCCTGGTTGGTGCGAATGTCGCTGTTGTCCAACTATTTATGGCGTGACCTTTAACGGACTGAAAAATTAAGGGTGAAATGGTTTCTAGCTGTGTACTTTGTACTGTGGCATGAGAAATCGCAACGTTGTATGTTACATGTCCTAGTGCCGCAGACTTTCTTTTACCGTTTGTGTGTAGCTTGATGTGTCCCAAATATGACCCAGCCAGACCGCCCAGAGGCGTGAACAGAGCTTTTGTGTAGAGGCTGGGGGTATCTCCTTGATCTGGGCCGGACAGCCAGCAGTAGTAGAGTGCCACGTTGTGCCCTTTATGCCCTCAACAAGTTTGCTCGAAAGTGTGCTCACGGACATGTGCATTCATTTTCAAGCTCTTCTTATATATATACAGCGCAATTCATTCTATGATATTATATTCACAAGTACCATTCACTCTGTTGCGCACGGTGCATCGTGTACATCGCAGCGTCTGCTCGTGTTCGTCTGGCCGTTCTTCGTTGTGCTAACTGGTTCTTAGCAGCATCAGCTTGATCAATGGACAGTGGTACATGGAAGCAGCGTTCCCTGAGCTCAGGTCTCTCTGGATTTGCCACACTTGCTAGTGGTGCAGTACGCGTCGGGGGCGCAGCAGCGATGTGCACTGCATTCGTGTATGCACTTAGGTTTACCTTGCCCTGCTAGGTGCTGTGATATGCCCTTGTCTGGCATCAGCTCTACTTACAGAAAACGAAGTGGATGAAACATTTTGAATGTCATAAACATCTCAGTACTGACTCGAAGACATATTGAGCGCTAACAGACAGGGACGTAAGGGAGTCGACAACACTTTTCGCTAACTTCAACCAGGAAGCAATAATTTATTTATCCGTGCACCGTGGCGCCACCAGTTCACCCAATAGTCAACCTGAAAAAGCCTCTCCAGATCTTAAAGGTCACGTTTGTGTGTGCACCATCAATCGACCTTTCGGACAGCGAAGGCTTTTCTAGTTCATTATTGAGTGAACTGGTGGTGCCACCGTGCACATATGAATAGGCATGTCTTTCCTAGAAGTAAAATTGAAGTTAGCGCATAGTGTTGTCTTCTCTCTTAAGTCCCTGTCTGTTAGCGCTAAATATGTCTTCGAGTTTCGCTTATACACACACTCACACACAAAAAGGCAAAGCTGAGTACGAAGTGCCACCTATAACTATTCCTGCCTGCTTGGAGTGAACGTGCACCACCGCACGCCTGCGAGCGTAGTGTGTGGGCATAATTGCCCTTTCTCGCGGTTCACGCCTGAGCTGTGCAGGCTAACGTGACTCTGTTTGCACTCAACTAACGTGCGTGTGGTTCGGCCTTAGGGAGGCTCCGGTCGTGATTATCGCAACACCCGCGTGAAATGCAAGTGGATTCGGCCCATTCACTACTCCGCCACTTATTTTTGATGTAAAATACTCCGTATGCTTTACCAACTGCTGTTGTGTCAGGAAGGGCAGAGAACAGAACTTGTCCGGAAGCAAAGTGGTGGTCTAGAAGAAAAGACCACCGCAAAAGGCGACGCTGAGGCCCCTTCGATCAGTTCAGGAGAAGGTTGTGCTAGGAAGCTTTCTTTGATGTGGGGTTTATTTACCCCTGAATGTTTTTCAGTTTCTCTGTTTTCGCGATCTTTCGATAATGTGTGATGAATCATACATTATAATGTCTATATCCACATTCTAAGTTTGCAAGTTAATAAAGAAAATGTAAACAAATATTACATGGCAGTACTTGGTAATTATTCAAATTTCGGCCGATACTTGCTGAGTATGGTAAAATATATTATCGTATAGTGCCATCTATAAGGTAGTTGCGTCAGAAACAACTTTTTTCCATAGTATGGCCGAAATGTTTGACTTTATTTAGATGAATGCAGCTGTACCAATATGCTTCCTATCATATAGTTTTATTGAAAATTACCTCGTCTATATCAAATTCTTGAAGATAGGCTAGTTCGTGTCACCAGGAATAGTCCCTTTCGCTCATTTCGCGCCGGTAACACTTGTACTTTCAGGGCCGAAGTGCCGAAGACGAGGAACTTGCAGCCCTGCAGGCGAGTGGCAACGTACGTGTAAGTAGGCGAACTTACCTTCGCAGGAAACTGCGATATGTTATTGGTCTAAGGAACCGCAATGTCCCCCACGATATCATGCGGCTAGCTATTGCATATTGAAACCTTGAAGAAGCTTCAGTGAATTGCGCTGCTGGTTTTTCGTGAAGAGGCCGGAGTTCAAACATCATAGTGGTATCAGTTTTATCAGTCAACTGTGCATGCCATAGTGAATGAAGACGGCATTAAAAGGACTGAGCAGGCTTTAACGTGCAGACGCGTCATTTGTTCAGTGCCATAGTGCAGAGACACTGATCAATGCACCCTCGCCTTAATATTAATGTTTTTGAAACTTGCGAAGCGTACCTTTAATTTAATGTTGTGTATGTACGTTTCATTAATGTAGCTCCAGCTGGTGCGCGTGGGCCGCGTCTAAGAGATAATAGTTTGGCCAAGAAATCAGTGCAGCCTCTCGAACAGGAATCCTCTGGCTAAAAACAAGAGGTCATTGAAAAACAGAAATGTTCTATCGCTGCGAAGGGAACCATGATGGGATGTGAAGCAGCAGCGGTGCACACGCCGTTCGCCCGGCTAAACGGGCGTCGACGCGGGTGCTGCAAGACAGGTTTGAAGCAAAACTCGGTGTAGCTTTCACCCGAGTAAACGTTCACTTGAAACGCAAAGACCCATGAGACGGATAGGGTTCAGTGTAAGTTTTATCGCAGATAAATGAGCCGAAAGAGTGTTTCCCCTCGACGTGAGGTCGAGCGTTATGGGTGGTGGAGAGGGTGAAGCGAGAAAGAAGTGTGTTGCGAGCATGTGCAGGAGCAACGCAACCTAGGTGTGTTGGGAGGAGCCGGCAGCTGCTGCGGGTGAGGAAGAGAGTGATGTCAACGCGCAGGTACGACTTGACCTACTTGGGATCGTTCCAACAACGGCGGCGGGGGGAACTTCGTGGGGCGCTTTGGCACGGAAACACGGATGGACAGGCTAGTCAGAGCAGCTTCGCATCTAAAGGCCCAGATGCAGTATGAGCAGATCAGCTCAGTGCTTTGCACTTCTATTTTATCTTTATCATTTTATCTTTACTACTGTAGCGTTTTTCCAAGTAATCCAGAAATGCCTTCATTAAAAGAGCTTGTTGCCTCAGTAATAGAATGCCGTGAAACGCTTAAAAATTCTACGCAGGGAGGTTGGTGGCAGGAGGACAAGATTAGACGACCCTTCCTCTGCGCTTTTATTGACTTTCAGCCTTTTTTTCTTCGTCAAGCCTACGGCTTACTATCAGTACGATAGCACCAACCATAACTACGCAGGTTAAATGAACACTAAAAAGAAACAATGGCTTCGTTTAGTTCGACAAAGTTTACTCTGAGAACTGTAATGACATGTCTTGGACTATTGCGAGTTTATTAATAGTATATAAAATCAGGGTTAATGTTTCGTTTTTGAATTTCGTGACAAAGTTTTTTCACGTGCCAAAGAAAATTTCAAAATGCATTTCTTCTATTTTTATGACAATTCTTCGCATTTCCGTATTTTTGTCAAATTCCCTGATATTTTTTTTTGCGAGGTGGTGGCACCCACAAATGACGATGTACATTTTTATTGATTGCAAGTAACGTAGGAACCAGCAGACGCCTTCAATATCTAGGGCTTCCCGTTGTTTCGTGCGGAAATATCAAGGTGGCGTCTCCACCCACATTTTCTTTTTGCACGTTTTCTTGTTCAAGAAGCGTCCTGTTGTTACTTTATAGGTAGCATATACAGTAAATCTAGTTCTCGGGATTGCCTATTTGTACTTTACTAGTATGCGATAAATGGCTTTGCTCTTTAGTGTCCTTTCAAATCAGGCAATGGCCGTGGCCTTTGGGTTGGTTTATGCCACAGTGATTTCGGCATATGGCATCACTTGTAGAGGCAAGTAGGAGATGTTTCTAGCTGACTTTGAGAATTGTCGATTCCATGCCGCGTGCTTCAAGTAATAATAGGCTTGCATGTTTTCGGGAGCCTTGACAATCGATAGGCAGCGCTTTCTGATCACGCTAAAAAAATTGCTGGCACCCCCTAAAGAAAACGAGAAAACAAGGCTCTTGTCATGAAAAGCAAGGGATGAGTTACGTTCGGACACTTTGCATGTACGTTAGTATGTCCGTCCAAATGCTGTGTTAGCCCATTGGTTGCCAATTTTTAGTATGTTCGATAAATAACAGTTCTAGCGGCCAGTTCATTGTGAGAGAACACATTGTGCTCACAAGAATTTAAAATGTTGAGAGTGCGGTGTTGCTGAAGGAGAAATCGGCGCTCATAATGTACCATACTCTAAATATTGGATGGCAAAGCCCTGTTTTTTAAATGCATAACATTCGGAAAATACGTCCAATACTTCAGCCAATGGTCTTTGGAGCTGTTCATAATAATGCATTATATGTACATGAAATGTCGTACCTACTCGACATCCGACAGAGTGCTTTAAGCAGTGCCATTTTATCAGTATTTTTTATTGGCTCTTCTCAGTTCACTTAAAAAATAAAAATAAAACTGATTTTAAAAATAAATATGTTACTCTTATCGAGTCCTCGCCACGCTTTCAAAGGTGTTTCTTCTTCAAAGCAACTGTCATATTCACAACTGTCATATTCACCCAGCGTTATGGGTAACGCGATGTATCTCCTCTAACTTGTACTTGTATTGCGTAGCCGTGACTTCTTTCTTCGTTACAGCATTGTTAGTGTATTGCTCAAAAATATTGGGAACGTAGACGGGGTGGCAGGGAACGTAGGCTAGAACCTATATAGATTACTTTTTCAGTAGAGAAATTAGTTTTTTTTTTGTTAACGTGGTCTTGAAGAAAGGATGCTGCTGTCTTTCCTTATGAACTCCATGTCATGACCAACACTTCTCCGAAGCTAAGTTACCCCGAAAAATTAGGCTATCAAAAACTTGCTCACTGTGTAACATCAGCTTGATGAAGCTGCTATATGAAAGTGGTCGCGTGATCCAAAATCACTAGCATTATCCATTACCTGGATCGCTCATTCTTGATCTCTACGTTCATCTTGAAATTTTATTAGAAAAAGACAAGGTGGAAAGGGAGGGGGTTCAAGGCAAGAGAACCGGTCGAACAGCAAAAGTGGTCGCCAGACCAACAATTTCCAGTGACGATCGAGTGGTGAAACTTGAATGAAGGCAGGTCGCAGTGAAACCTCGTCGCAAAAAACTGCAAACATTCTGACACGCACGCAAACGGCTTACTGATTGGGTGCGATGTTGTCTGTTTCCTGCGCTATAGGTAAGTGCAAATTTGGTTATGAGATTACAAGGTTTTTTCTTAGCGTATTAGTTATCTGCCGCCATTTGTGTCCTTGTAGGCCCTATCGCTCGAAATCATTTGAAAAAGAAAACGAAGAAAGACTGTCCTGGAGGCAGTAGTACTCGATCATGGTGCTATATGTGAGATCCTAGTATGTCACCACAGAACCATGCCGGTGCTTTGTTTTTCTTTGTTTCTTTTATTTACTGCCTGTGTTCGATAATGTACAAAGTGCTCATTTCACGTTCAAGCCGTGCGAGGGCTCGAAAGTTCTTTGTGGAGGCGTAATTGGTCCCGTGACTGGCATCGCTGCGGTCTTGGCGATTTGACGTCACGTCAGCGACTCGCCCACCCCGCCGCCGCTTGCCTCCTTTTTCTGCGTCCACCGTTTACCCACTCTTTAGCGAAACGTTACCGATTACTTTAAAACTTAATGACGCAAATGTCTGAACGTACAAGGTGGAAGGCTTCATAAGTATAGTGAAACTTGTCGAAGCTGTAAAAAGTTTTTTTTTCATAATTTAACTTAGCGTAGGCAGTCTTCCATCCGAACAGAAGATTTATTGTGAAAATCGTGTCGCAGGGCAAGAAGACCGCCGTCTTCATTGCGTAAACCAAGAAAAGGGTGCTAAAAATGCCAGACCTACGCGAAACGCGCTGCACAGTCACAGCAAAATCTAGAAGAGTGGCCCTGCAGAGTAATTTTGAAACACTCTTTGTCTAACTGCTACAAGCTCTCTGCTAAATACCCACTACGCTATGAAAAATCATAATTTTTTTGTAGTAGTCCGCCATTCAGTATGCTATCTATCGTCATTCTTTGGACAGGCGTGGTATCCGCTACACACTTGGTAGTAATTTTGTGCATGTTTTTATGTTTTGGCTCACGACGATGAAGAATGATGCCTGAAAAGGGTATACGCCACGGTTATTACGTGATCAAGAACAAATTTTCTAATGAGTTGGAGCATTCCACGACTCCCCTCGTTATGCAATTCTCATGATGTGACATCTGACTGTTTCTTTGACGTTATAAAACGCTTTATTACTCATATTAACGCGATTCTTTTCCCGACATCAAGCCTGCCTAAAGTCAGGTTTAGAAACGTGTTCCAAGCATTGGCGTAGCTCAGAGGTAGAATACTGAGACGGCACGCAGTGGACCCGGATTCAAATCCCATTTTGTCGTTGGTGTTCTTTATTTACTGCTTCTTTTATTCTATACTTGTTACGGACACCGGCGGTAGCGGCAGCGGACAACTACGGCGCCGCGCTTGACCCGTCTTCTGATCTAATAACAATTTTAGCTGTAAAAAAATATGCTGAGTGGTGTTAACATGATTAAAACTAGTCATAGATTTCGGGTTCAGAACTTATGTGTGCCGAAGTACCACAAACAAATTTATACCTTTTTTATACACTAGATACATCGTGCTTTACCAAGCAAGGTACACTTGCATCTGCGAATAATCTAAATGACTTGACAGGATGGCGCTTCATCCAACAGGAGACTTCGCAGGATTTCGAATGTCATAAGCACTCACCTAGCGTGTTCAGCAAATTAACAATATAATACTGCCACACACACAAACTTTTAAAGAAACGTTGAGATATGTACGTTTTTTTTCTTCGGATCATATGAACAGGTTTCTTCTCAACAGTCACCAGGCAGTATGTAGTCTTTTATACCCTGATTTTCGTGAAATGCTCTGGTGATCGACCGGCGCGTCACAAACGATATTGTTCCCTTCACGTTGGAGCACCGCATAGCAATGATTCGAACAAAAACGCCAGAAATTCGCAAGAACACTTTCGATCGTGCACTCAGCGATGTGACACAAGTAATATTTAAACAATCTTAGCCGTGATGAGTTGACGACTTGTCTCGCACGTCATGTCCACTTAATCAATTGCAAGGAAAACTAATTTATGAAGTGGCTATCTAAACTGGTAGTTACGAGCGCGACGGCACCGTTGCTACATTTCTCCACGAAGCCAGAATTTGACAGCAAGAAGAATTTCCTCCACAACCTCAACCTCATTTAACCTCAATAATTTTAGTGAAATGAAGCTTCAAAATTATTGCGAGAGAAACATGAAACTAAACAACTTGTTGAGTGAGCAAGGGCATGAGAACAACAGACGCAACAGCGGCGGTGGTATTTTAGACGAGTACATTCCGGAATATATTTTGGGAGATTTGATACTGTCGAAACTACTATCTGTATATGCGTGAATTCTTCCGATACAAGTAACACTAGAGGAGGGGAAAGACTCGTGTTTCCTAAACGAATTACCCACGGACAGCTCAACCTATTATTGTGAATATAGTGTTTTGCGTCTCAAAATCGCATGATTATCAGTCAAAAGTGCGTTGTATTTAAGCAGAATCGTGTTCTTGCTTTTCACACTCTCAAGGATACAGCTGCCGTGGGCAGGAATGGAATCCGTGATAGGAGTTAGCAGAGTAACACAGACGCTTTCACCCCTTTCACATGGCTATACCACCGAGTGCACGATTGCGCCGAAGCGATGGTAAACTTTTTATTTTTCCCAGAAACATTACCGATTCGGTTGTTGTCGCATTCATCAGCATCTTTAAACGAGCAGAAAGTGATTGCAAACAGCGGACGAAGGGAGCGCTAAATTAGGCACATTTAGTTGGGCGTACGTAACGAGCGTATACGGAAGCGGCAGGATACGTTGCGTACGCTGCATGCGAAGTGCTCAACGACACTTCTAGTTCACCGTATTGATCATACCAAGATAAGTTTGGTTCAACTGGACCCATGTTATTGGAAATAAAACAGCTTTTAAACAGCTTTTTACTTTAAATAAAACATCGCGCTCCTGCGGTAGCGGCTGTTATTCTTCGAATACCGTGCCAGCAACAGGTTCAGGCGCTCGCGCACGCAGTGCGCTGTAAATAGTTTTTTTTTCAGGAAGTTCCCTGAGGCGCCAAGCAGTCTTTTTCCACTGCCCCGGATGCCTGAACGGATTCCTGGTTTGTACTTCCGCTAGCAGCAAAACGTCGTCCCTCAAAGTAAAATATACTCGATATGGGCCGGCGTTGTTGCTTTCTGCATTCGACGCCATCGCTGCCTTTCGCTATCTGGTTCCTATTTCAATCGAGATATCGCGGGAGCGTCACGCCACGTGCGCTCCGCCTCGTCACGTTTACGCACGCCGCGCTTTTTTTTCTGGCGTACGCACTGGCGTGCTGCGCATGCGCACTTTTCTCCCGTGGCAGTGCTGCGTGCGGGGGCACGTTACGTACGCCCAACTAAAAGTAGAGAGTTTTAGTACTACGTACGCTGCGTACGTGGCGGCGTTGCGTACGTAAGGACACCACGTTCTGCGTAGTGCGCATGCGCAGACCGCAACGCGCACGTATCGCGTTACGTACGTGGCCGCTACGTACGCACGCATGTACGCACGCATGAGATGCGTGCGTACGTACGTATGAGGGGATCGCGCCGCTCTCGAACAAGTTCGCTACAGCGGGAGATTTCGTTTTGCAAAATGGCGGCATCGAAGGCAAGCATCGACCGGCTTTGTGGCTTAAAATATGGCCATAATCTGGCTATAACACTTGGATTGGCTCACATTGGCTGTCAACAACACGTGCTTCTGTTTTGATCTACCAGATGGCGCAACAGGCTTCACGCTCGTTACGTACGCGGGTACTACGGCATACTAAAAGCCGATTAGTGGCAAACGACGCCACGTAACGCAAGGCGCTTGCGTGATGCGTACGTAGCACCATTCCGCAGTACTAAAACTCTCTAGTGTCTGTGATATAGGGGCGCTGCGGTGGACATCGAAGAGTCCGTGCCGTGACGTCACCCAAGCTTCCCGCTAGGTGGCGCCACCCCGAACTTATCAGGGCTAATATCGGGAAGAAGCACGTAAACCTATCTACATAGCGTGGTGAGTAAAGAACCAGGCGTCACGCAATACGCATTGCGTAACGAGTGGGTCACTGAATGTCATTCGAACTAATTGCAAAGGGATCAGCCAAAATTCTTCATCGGCATCAGCAACCCCATAAACAAAATACACATAATGCCTTGTGAATTCCAACCGTGTACTTCGCTGCTCCACAGAATGTTGAATAATGGCACTGTGGGTGCTTCCAAACTTACTAAATTTAGGATGAATGCCTTTGTGCGTTACTTGCAAGATTTTTGTATTTCTATTCTCAAGACAGTTTACAATAAGTTCCAGAAATGCCGTTCTTTTCGCTTTCGTTGTCTCTGCGCTACGGTTTCTGCGCAGGCCAGGCATTTTCTATGGTCGCACTGTCTCAAGAAAACTTGAACCTGCTGGTGAAAGCGAGACTACCTGTCACTTTCAATGATACGAACCTGCCGTGACCTGCACTCATTAAAGTTCAATTCTTGGTCATAAAAAGCCACCGTTTCACCTAAAATAGCATCCACCTTCTCTACGTTTATGGCTCTCATATCATGGTAGTACTGTACAGTGACTGAAGTGCGCAGCCTCTGAACCGAAAGTCACGTGTTCAATGCCGGCCTTCGAGTTTCAATAGAAGCGGAATGCTGGAGGCCCATGTACTCACAATAAAGTGCACGTGAAAGGGGTGCTACATTGCAATTTTACATGTTGTGTTTAAACTGCAAGGCGTTCTTTGTATCTTCGGGAGAAGAATGCAAAAATAATTTTGGAGATAGATACATGAAAGCAAAAGTTCTGGAACTTCTTGATTTAAAATAAAAGCTGGTGTGAAAACTTGGCGTAAACTTTGTCGTTTCGATGAATCAGTGACGTGTCAATATGACCAAGATGGGCTTGCATTTTATTACCGCATTGTAGCTCACTTTGGCATTCATTGCGCAAGCGGCAACAGCACTATTTGACGGCTTGAGTATACTGCATTAGTTAGCAGACGACCTTATGCTGACAAATGATAGGTCACAACTGGTCAGAAATGATTAGTGCATGAAAGGAATTTCTGTTTCATCGTGCACAAATGACTGATTTTGTCATGATGCAGAGTTACGAACTATAAGGTGTATTGATGAAGACTGCGCTTTGTGTACACCATTCTACAGTGCCATCTAGGTTGGTTGCAGTAGCCTTTCGCGCAGTTTTGACATGTATAAAATACATTACAGTTTGTACATTCCTCAGACTGAGCATAGAAAACGTGTGCCGTGTAGTCTTTATTTCGGGTCTATAATAGTACTTTCTGGAAGTAAAAGTTGAATGACTCTGCAGTCCGCGCAGAAAACCATTTTAGAAACAAACTATCAAACGCATTGCTCCCGTCGCTCTAACTGGCGTCACAGCGGTCATCAAGACCCATAGCAAGCAAACGGCCGATAGAAACAACGTGCGTATTTTTGGGCTGAAGGAGGCCATTGAAGAACCTTAACTGGTTGAAAGTTCCATAGTATCGCCAGGCATGCCTCGTAGTCCCACCTTATACCTTGAGATGCAAAAAACGCCTTTAGAACTCGTCACTTCTGACACCTCGCAGCTTTCCTGTACGCATACCTAAACAAGGGCTCAGTGGATGCTAATTAAAAATTGAAACACAGTCGTTGACTAGCCGTTACAATGATACTACAGCAGCGCTAAAGTAATTGCACCTCGGCGCACATCTCGCTTGTGTGTATCGACGTATGCCTGCATAGCATGACATTTATAATATTATATATGTAGCGCCTAAAAACAAACGCTATCTGCTCCGTGAGAAGCATAGCAGTTCGATTTGGAAAGGAAAAGTGGTTAAGTGATAGCCTTTCTTTGGGAAGAGGGCAATTATCTGCATTGCGCTAATTATCACTTTACGCGCGCACATGCTTTTGCTTAAGTCAGTATTATGAAAAGTTACTCCCCATTCAGAATGACCAGGATGACTTAACTCCCGCTTTACGATGTCACAAATATCCGTTAAAAAAAAAACGTGAGACCAAAGCTAACGTTCAAGCGAAATTGGTACATTAATTTTTGCTTGATAAAGATGGGCGTGTATTTAGTGGTATTCTTTTTTAATGTTCATGGTGGATATAGAGATGTCGTTGCAGTACATCGGACATTTGGTTCTATATCCACCGTTGTGCAATGCCGACGAATCGAATAATTTAACATACTTCTTTCATCTTCCGCAGTGTCCTCACAGCTGCCGCAAGTGCTACAACGACTGCATGAACAAACTCATGGCGCTCTGTGACAGCCAAGAAGTCGTGAAGTTCAACGATGCTCTACGACAGCCGTAAGCACTGCACACCATCAGTACAAAGCAACGTTTGCCTGTTTATCAAGGTTGGCGTGGCTAGTGTTGTGGCTGCAGGTTAAGGCCAAACCTCATAAGCGCGAAAATGCACGCGACAGCGACAAGCGACGCTATGAGCGACGAAACAGGGCGTTCGCGTGACGTGTCGCGTGCTCGTTTTCGCGCGATCGCTCGGTTCTCCAGATTTGGAAACCGTCGCTCATCGCCCGGAAGTGCTGGGCTCAAGCAGCCAATAGCGAAATACCGGAAAAGACAAAGACTACATAGGTGCACGTGACCCTGCCCGAGTCACGTAGGCGCAACAAAAAATAACGCAATGTTTATTACGCATGTGAATATAAAAAAGTGCTGCAAGGCACTAATAAACACTTTCCGTTTCATTACACAACAATATATTTTATTTTTAAATTGCAAACCGCTCGCTACGCGGTTTTCTTGGTGCGAGTTGACGGCCTCATGCCAGCAACAGTGGAATTCGCTCGCCGACGCCGTCGCGTGAATGAGGTTTGCCTGCGCTAGCGACTGATCGCGCGAAGCCGATCTACGTCGCGTCGCTCGTCGCTGTCGCGTGCATTTTCGCGCTTATGAGGTTTGGCCCTTACTCAGCACCATCATATAGATTAGTCGCTTTCGTAGGCAGCGTATACGTACTGAAACCCAATGGAAATAGCCACAGGGCTACTTGTTTATCTACTGATAATATAAGCATAGTGGACCACCATCGCTGGCTGCACCGGGATCAACCCGTTTCGAGATTCGCTCAAGTGTGGTACAGGCGTACGTGTGTGTGGGTTCACACAGTGTATTCATTACCGCTTCTGTAGACACTACGCGCTGCTATTTCGGTAATAGGAGTTCATTTTAAACATTGTTTATGAGGCCGTAAAGTCGTTCATTTATCACACTGTCACCCTCCCCCCCCCACCATCATATTTATCGCTGGCGCGAATAGAAATAGAAAGTTATACATAGTGGGCAGCGCACAAAAGGAAACACACAAGAGAAGGAATCAGGACAAGCGCTGGGGTGAGACAGAACCCCACCCTTTAAAGAATTTTCATGCTCCCGTAGCCTAATATTAATACATCTACCGGTCTGTCCTATGCAGACACTCCCGCACGAGCAAGGAATTTTATAGACTACACCGGTCGAACATGCGGTATACTTCTTAACGTGCTTGATTGAACAAGTGTTATCAACCGCCCTCGTAATTCCCTTTACGCGTCTATGAATCTTGCCACATAAGCTACCCAATTTATTCCCACTTGAAAAAACAACGTCAACCCCATACTGCCCCCCAACTTTCTTTAATCTATGTGAAATGGAATGTACATAGGGAATCACTGCAAAACGCTTTTGCTCGCGTTGAGAGGTTGCTGGTTGGATGGTGGGCTGCGCGTTACTTTTTACTTTTTTTAGCAAACGCTCGGAAGCAGAAACGAGAAAGGCGGTGGGAAAACCCGCTGTCTTAAGCCGATCACACTGATTACGAAAGCTTTCCTCTGTGGCATGGAAACAAGATTTTGCGACAGCTGCGTGAAGGCATGAAGTGACTATACCATTTTTTACCAGTTTTGAATGAGCAGATTTAAAGTTTAGGAGGGGTTTAGCCGACCTGGGAGCGTATAACCAACAGACATGCGCATCCTGGAATCGCAATGTTAGGTCAAGGAACTGAAGCTCATTCTTTTCATTGGGAACTTCACACGTAAACTGAAGACCCTGCCCCCTTTCCCTAAATGCCTTGAGAATGTTCACCTTATCATGTAAGCTACTAACACTATCCAAAAAAACCAAGTAATCATCCACATACCTAAATATACGTGTACCCCAACCCTCAAAATCTCTTTCTAGATCGCGATCAATTCTACTCAACAATATGTCACTTAGGACCGGGGCAACTCTGGAACCTATGCATACACCTGAGGCCTGAACAAACAAATCCCCTTGCCAAGAAACAAAAGTAGAATCAAGATAAAAACGAAGAAGTTCAAGGAAACTTTGAACAGAAATACCACATTTGTCAACAAACCGCGTTTCTTCATTTAGTTCAGTGATAGTTTCCTTAACACATAGTAACAGAAAATTATGCGGCAGTGAGTAGAACAGGTCCTGAACATCGACACTGAAGGCAGACTTTTTTTCCCAAAGGTTCTGATTACCCAAGAAATCAACAACCTGTAGTGAATTCCTAACCAAGAATGGATCCACTAAATTTAACGAGCTGAGGTGGGTTTGCAAGTAGCCCGAGACAACGTGCTGCCACGAGCCACGCTCCGACACAATTGCCCGAAAGGGTACATCGGGTTTATGCGTCTTGGCGGAGAAGAACACCTGCAACTCCAGGCTTTTTGAATTCTTCGCCAAGGACCTCAGTCGTTCAAGCTTTAGGTCTGACAATAATGCCAAAGCCTTCTTCTTAACAGAAGCCGGCTTACAAGTGACTGGTTTGAAGTTTTTTTGCATTGCTTGAACAGCCTTATCCTGAAACATGCCCGCGGGCATCACGACGAAGGATCCTTCCTTATCAGACACCAAAAGCCGCAAATCACTTGCGGCAAAAGAACTTACTAAGCGTCGCGACTGGCCATCTCGACTGAATCTCGTACTGCACTTGGAAACCACATCAATACACTGTTTTAAACAAAAGGATCGGTTAGGCTCAGAAACCTGGTTAGCAACGGAATGAGTCATTGCCAATTTTTCCGTGGCGGTGAGCTTTGGTTCAAAGGCAAATTTGGGACCGAGCCCAGAAATTACTCAGCACCGTCATATGGATTAGTCGCTTTCGTAGGCAGCGTATACGTACTGAATCCCAAGGGAAATATCCACAGGGCTACTTGTTTATCTACTGATAATATTGGCATAGTGGACCACCATCGCTGGCTGCACCGCGATCAACCTGTTTCGAGATTTCTTCAAGTGTGGTACAGGCTGTACGTGTGCGTGTGAGTTCACACAGTGTATTTATTACCGCTCTTGTAGACACTACGTGCTGCTATTTCGGTAATAAGCGTTCATTTTAAACATTGTTTATGAGGCCGTAAAGTTGTTCATTCATCACACTGTCACCCTCCCCCCCACCATCATATTTATCGCTGGCGCGAAAAGAAGTAGAAAGCATGCGCTGCACCGAACTCTGCCTCCAGTGTCGTATCGGATTGCACATGGCGGCCGCTTTTTCATCGAAGTTTGTTGTCTCGGTTTCTTTTTTTTTGAACAATACCATTCAATGATCGTCTAACGTCCATCATAGTCACAGATAGCCTGTTAAAGCGGCCTTAGTACTTGGAAGCCTTTGCAAATTCGTTCAACTTATATTTGCGGGCACACAAAAGCGCCGCGCGTTAGGCAGAAATCACATGCATGTTTTTTTAAGTGTGAATACACTTTATAAGCGACCCCAAACCATCCACCGCCGTCGGCGGCGTCCGCAGTCTTCTCTCTATCTTTAAAAGAAAGAGGACTTGGCGGGCCGCAGCGCGACGCTCTACCGAAGAAGCCACGGACGCGACGCTGATATCGGTGTCAGTAACGCGCCTTATACCCCCTCCCCCTTCGCTCGCTCCTCCGCTCTCCTCGCTCGCTGCAGCTGCGCGCGCACCCCTCTCTCTCGCGCGCCCACCTTCTCTCTCAGTCTCCCGTCGAGAGTGGGTCGTGCGATGGATGTCCCGGAGGCTACGCTACCATCAACAACGAATGCAGTACAACCGAATGCCAGCACTGCACCCGTCGTTGGAGGTGACGGTACCGCGGTGGTTTCGCCGACGTTGGAAGACAAGGCGGCGCTGCGAAGGGCTCGTGAGACCGAACGTAAGCGGGCGAAGCGTGCAGCGCATGCCGAACTGCGTGCTCGCGAGGCCGAGTGCAAGCGGGCGAAGCGTGCAGAGGATGCCAAACTTCGCGCTCGCGAGGCCGAGGACAGGCGGGCGAAGCGTGCAGCGGATGGTGAACTGCGCGCTCGCGAGGCCGAGATGAGGCGTCAGCATCGAGCCACGAACGCGGCCCAAGAAGCGGTACGAACACGCAAGTGTCAGGCGGAGAAGGGCGATGAAGGCCGGCCGCAAGACGCCGCTCGCAATCGTCAACGGCGAGTGGACGTTCCCGAAGCCGTTCCAGCCAGTGAACGTGCCGCGCGGGAGAGGGTGCGAGCCCTGGACTTTGCTCGTCCGGACGCGTCGTGAAGTGTAAATAAATAATACTTCGTATATAACGTATCTGTGTACAAACGCTTCAAGACAAACAACACTTAAATTCATTAATTACACTTTAATTATCATCATCAGTAATAAAACTCTCATGCATTTCCCCGAGGGTGAACATGGTTAAGTGCGTATGCACGGGGTGATGCTATGAGGAGGAGTAAAGTTAAAATCCGTTGGCATTCGCCAGTGAGTTAACGTAAACTCCCCCGTGTGATCAAATTGCGATTCCCAGGAACCATTACACCATAAAGGCACCATATTGCGATTAATAAATATAATAGTGCGAATTAATAAATACCCCTCATAGCATCACCCCGTGCATTCCCACTTAACCATGTTCACCCTCGGGGAAATGCTTGGAATTTTTTTAATTTCATGCACTTTAAACAAACGCTGGAAATAAGTAACAAGCGTCGTTATCTTACTGTATGTTGAAAATTTTGTTATTTCTCAATAAAGGCTATAAGTTTTGTACTAAAACTTTTTTCTCGATATTCTGTATTTAAAAAGTTTGTTAAGCAAATTTTGGTAATTACCGTGCTTGGCAAATAAAAAAAAATCTGAAGCACTAGATACAGCTAGGAACAATACCACGCTAGCTGTACATGCGCAGCACTCATTATTATTTTTTATAGCTTGGTGCTTTTTAACTGATACACCGTGTACACAACACCGCACGTTTTTCGGTGGCCGCCGTATGTGCAACACCGTCATCTGCCAGTATTCAGTCATGCAGTACACTAGACTGCATAACTAAAATGATTGCCTCTGATC